ACTGATTACAAACTGACTACAAAATCTTTGCTTGCATGTTGGCTTGATTCAAAGCATTGTGTGAATCATTACCTGAATTTTCAATAGATTGATGAGGACTCCACTTGTTACTTCCATTACTGATTTGCCCACTTGCTTCAAGTATCTCTTCCTTGGTTGTATGAACTGAACTTCTCTTCCTCATTGAATCTTGTCTTCTAATTGAATCTCGTTTTCTTAATGATTCTCGTTTACGTAATTTCTGACTGTTAGCTCTGCTAAGTCGTCTTTCTTTCGAGCTTATTTTGTGCTCACCTTCATCGCCATTTTCTATCCTAGGTTGTTTTTCTAATGTGGGTTTCATGTCAGGACTACTGGGTCGACTGCCACTGATACTTTCAACATCACCATCGTCAGCAGAGGCGTTATTGTCTGAATATCTTGAATCAAATGGCCGAGACCTCCTACCATAACGTTTTTCGTTCACAACCATTTTAGGCGGCTCTTCGATTTCTAAATGAATAGGAATATACATGTACAGAGGATGAGCTTGATCATAACTATGGCTTGATGTGGTATAGCATGCATGTCAGGCACTATGATTGAAATAGAGACTGCTACTGAACTCAATAAAAAGTGGACAGTGATTTAATAAAATAACACCACAAACATCATATTCACCTGGGTACACAACACCAACACAGAAAAAATCATGATAACATGATATTTACAAAATTAACTTTCTTTTTTTTGAACTGTTAAATGTCCAAAAGTTTTTAATTTTTATGAAGACAGTGATTTAATTGCACAATCAAAACAGTGAATGTTAATTATCAAAGCTAATTTAATTAAAATATGACAATAACGCCAATATCTCAAAAATAAATATTCCAATTTTCATTAAAACAGCCAGGAATTACATACTAATTAATAATAATAACAGACTATTACAGTTATTGACTGCATAGGCAGTAATTAATGTACCCTGGGTTCCAGAGCCTTCAGAAAGTTTCCCAGCTAGGGTTTCTGTGTAATAAATTGAAAAGACCGCCAAAAATACATGCAATTACGAAAAAAAAATATTATGTAAACAGCAACTTGATATTACCTTAAAAGGCAATGCTATTTATTTCTGAGCAATGGGAATTTTGCATACGATTTGTACACATAAATCCATTTTTTATTGACTTCAGTAGCTGGCTTTATTTCAAACATAGAAGATATTAAAAATGCTAGATGCACGACCAGGATTCATAATAAAGTTTCTGAAACGTTCTCTGATCGTAAAATTTATTTAAAACACAAGCTTTCGACTGCCAGTCTGCAGTCTTCAACAGGTAAAGTAATATTTAACATGAAAGTTCTCTGATCGTAAAATTTATTTAAAACACGAGCTTTCAACTGCCAGTCTGCAGTCTTCCACAGGTAAAGTAATATTAACATGAAGCGTTTCATGTTTAATATTACTTACCAAAAACTACTGAACTATGATCAACTTCATAATTATTAAAATAAATATTATGATCAGAGAACGTTTCAGAAACTTTACAGAAGATATTGGTAAGGAGTGTTTGTCATGGAGATGACCATTGACTGAGACATATGCGAGTTTCTCACAGAATGAAGTGTGGCAGTGTCCTAGCAAAATTACTCTGCAAGTGTTGAAGGTTAAAACTGGTCAAAGAGAACTCAAACAAAATATCAATATGGGATTTGCAACAACAAATCTTCAGCCTGGTTCGAAGTTGAATAATATATTTCTTGATCGTTACCTTGAACAGGTTCCTCTCCGCTGGAGACAGTCAAGCCATCAATTGCATCAGACAAAACTATCACAAACCCTTCCTTGAAATCTTCAAAATTTACCTGCAAGTTTTAACAACACAATAAAGTTTTACTATTATCCTACATACAATAATTTTACTCAGGGCTTGAGCAGTATCATACCAGTTTGAAATATTGGATAATACCAGATGTTGAAACTATCGGCCATTTGATTGGCAAGTGCCAAGGCAAATTAGGAAGGCTGGAGATATTTATTGTCTCAGTACAGTGTAAGTGGGATCACATGAACAGTGCTAAATGATATGCTTGTGATGTTATGCATGAGTCAATTCCTGGAGTAACCATCCCCCCCCCCGGGACACCCCCGGGCATTTGCCCGATAGACAGTTCACGGGGGTCGGGAATTTGCCTTTCATATATGGGGCCGGGTATTGGAGGACCCCGGGGATTTGACAAATGGTTGCCCAGAATCCCACCCACAAATTTTAAGGCAGCAAAACATAGTTCAGGCAAGCATGTGGGCGCGCTGATCGTGTTTTGCGCCCTTGTGGTCACGGTGGCGTGAAATTTATTGTAAGAATAAGCGAAAATTATACCCTCTGCCATGCAAATTTAAATACAACTATTAAAGGTTTATGTTTTATAATATTCCATAGCAGTTTAATACTATAATGTTATTAAATGACTATGATTATATGCCTTTAAAAGTTTAATTAACGTTTACAGTCGATTTCACGAAACTTTGACCACAAATTTTCCGAACTTCGTTGCGAAGTTCACAAGATTGTTGCGAAGTTCAAAAGTTCATAATGAGATTCACAAACCAGTTCGTAAACTACGCATTTGATTGGCTTCTTTTACTTCACGGATCAATCAGGGACTTTGTTTACAAATTGGCTTGTGAATTCCAATATGAGCTTCCGAACTTCACAACGAACTTGCGCACTTCGCAACAAAATTCGGAACATTTGTGGTCAAAGTTTCGTGAAATCGACTGTAAAATCGTCCCTGGGGTGGGGCATTTTCCACTCTCAGCTTGCCCAGGGGCCGTGCATTAGTCTTCAAGTTGTGTCCCGGCACCCGGGCATTTACACTGTCATAACCAATCTAATCAAATTCCGGGGGGGGGGGGGGGGGGGGGATGGTTACTCCTGGAATTGACTCATGCATTACTCTGACTGTATATCCACACCAGGCAGGCTTGAAAAATATGCCTGGCCACAGTGGGAATCGAATCTATGACCTTTGGAATTACTAGCCCAGTGCTCTGCCAACTGAGCTACGCGGTCAGGTCAGGTTGGGTCGAGTATGTGATACAGTGTGACCAGATATTTTGCAAGGCAATTACTAAATAAGCATGCAAAAAATTACCAAAACATAAAAAAATTACTAAATTTCCGCTGTCAACCAAAGTGGTCTGAAAATCAATAAAACATCTCAGCAAAACAAAATCAGTAAAGCACTTTCCATCACTGAAACTATGTTTTTTTCCATGTTTTTCTTTCTCACTTGTACTTTTTGATTGTAATTGTGCAAAATGCAAATATGGCGCCCGATGATCGGGCCCGGGCCTCTAGCCCGCAATCAGCACAGGGTGAAGAGCAGGGGAAAGCGTATTTGGTTGAATTTCATGCGATAACCAAAATATTACTAACTTTAAGAGAAATTACTAAAAAAATTACCAAAAATTTTCAATTACCAAAAGTCAGAAAAATCGTGAAATATTACCAAAAGTAATTAAAATTACCAAATCTGGAACTGAGTCTAGTTCCTTTGATATCAATGTAATATAGTAATCATGATATTTTCTGTATTGGCATAATGTAACTCAGAGTAACATCACAAGCATCTTATTCACCTGAGTACATTACACCAACAAAGAAAATATCAGTGCTAAATGATGTTTGCATCAGCAGGATCTTGTAAATGTTGTCATGCATCTCTCATTGTAATGCAAGAGGTGTGCATTGTTCCAGAAAATATTCACTGAGAAAGATCCACAAAGGAAATTTCTGTTGTCCAGAGGGGGAAGGGAGAGGAATTTCTTTAGGGGATAGGGGGCTTAACTTCCAATTTCCTTTGTGGGGGAGATATGGATATTTTCTGGAATGACCCAATTGAAGTATACAACCTGCCACATAAGTTAGTGCTCTATTCAACTGTCTGATTCTAGAGCGCTAATTTATTTCAATTGATATTCAATTAGAATGAAAACATTCCATCTGCTCACCTCGCCATCGTCCTGGTTACCCAGCAACTGAGCAAGAAGCTTGGGTACTTGATCTTCCAACTGTAATTTTTGACATAACTCAACCAAACCTTGTTTCTTGAGAAATCCTTTCCCTTCAACATCACAGCTATCAAAAACCTCCCGTAGTTGCGCGACATAGACATCCTGATCTTCGTCTTCCATAATAGTTTGTAATAAACAACACTCAACGTGTATTGCTCGACAAATATTAGCAGTAATTTGTGTATATAAACAATGTTTTTAACGCCCAGTACTACTTGAAAAATCCAACAATGTCCATAACATCAAAGCCGAAGTAATTCTTTATCTGACATCATTTTCGAAGTGAGCGTCATCGCTAAATGTGAAATGTAATTCAACCAAATTCAACGTGTATTATTTATAAATGTATAAAATAAACTAACCAAAATATCAACACGACAATTTCAAGACCTCTGCAAATATAAACTATGTCAGCAACACTCCAAATAGATCGAAATGAAACACTTGAAAATGCTGTTCTGAAAAGCTTTCCGTGTTAATCTTGGCTGGTAAAATACAACGCTTACTGATTTATAAGATATTGTAAAAGCTACCTGTCGACTGTTCTATTCACAACCTGTGTCGATTAAAACTGTCCAAAAATCTCTTTCCTTCCAGCTATAAAGTTAAGCATTTGAGGCTAAAATATCACAATGATATTCACAAATTATCCAAACTTTATTCTCCTGAAGATTTTATCCATAAAATATCGAAATGTTTTACAAAATAATCCTTGATATATTTGAAAAGCAAATAAAGATTATCCCGTATCCCATTACCGGACAACCGCGCCGGGTATCGCACCTGATCGCAGGCTACACAGCCGAGAATTAGATGAAAAACGAGGCCTAGGGATTCCTCACCTGAAACTAATCTTCTAATGTTTTTTTCTAGTCTTCTACTAGCCTTTCTAAGAATAAAATTCAAATACTGCCTGTTAAATTTGCCATTCAACCAACCTCTCCTATAAATACTGACATCAGGGGCACTGTAGTACCAAATATGAACACCAGGCTTATATTTTCCCCTCAGCGCAAGGCGGGATAAATATAGGCCTCATATTTATCTGTTTGATGCGGTAATGCAAACAGTCTCCAATTGAAAGATATGAAAGTTTCAAAAACGTTCACCATTTTGTTATTTATTAAAATCTTAACTATATATATATATATATATATATATATTCATCATTGTAAATTATCTTTATACTATAAATATAATCCAATTACTTATCCAATTACAAATATAAATTATGGTAAAGTCAAAATTTAAAATGAGAAATATTAATTCTGTGGGTCTAATAAAATCTTGCAAGCTTTGCCAGAAAACAACAACTCAAATGCCTAACAAAATGTAGAAAATAAACTAATAAAGTAAGCTTGATTTGATGACACTGGAGTATATATCACCCAGACATAATACCTGCCCTGGTAGTCATGTAGTTGCACTCTGCACTCGCCATGTGTCCCTAGACCCAAGAGGGGGTGAAAGCCTCTCTTACTCTCATTTAGAGTAGAAAAATGGATTTTGACAATTTCAAAAAGTTTAGAGCAGGTTGGGGTTCTTTATGAATTTTCTAGAAATTTCCTGTAGTCCACCCTTTGATCACCTCATGGATGCCTGTGGTTCCCCCTTTGTGTTTTTATCAGTCGAAACTAACTGTTTTGATGAGAGAAATGCTTTTCAACAATTTTCACAAAGTTTACAGTGGTTTGGGGCAGTTTTTGAATTTTAAAAAATTTCCTGTCGAAACTGTTTTGATGAGAGAAATGGTTCAATTATCAGAAAGTATGGACAAGGGAACACGCCAGAAATACTTGTGTAAATTTATACTAACCTTTTAATTACATGTAAATGTTTTCAATTTTCATCGGCCGCCATTTTGAATGTTGAAAGCGGTATTAGCGTATCGCAGGCGCAATAATTTATGTTCATCTTTGACATTAATTTATGTTA